TTCTTTTGTTCTTTTGCTTTAGTGTATTGTAGAAAATAACATTCTTTTCGAATATATTCGTTATTGCAGTCGAATACCGAAGAACTAATACCTTGTCTTATTTGATAACAGAAACGTAGATAACCGGAGTGTTGTTAAAATAGTCGCAACGTAACCGTCGAATACCATTTACTACGTACGTTTTCTTGTTTTCAAAAAATTGAAGCAATATCGATAACTAGGACTGGTGACATTTTTGCAAGCGTGAAATTAGTGAAATAGAAGTGCGATTGATTTACATTTGAAATAATTACAAATTTGAATAATGTTTCACCGATTGTGTGTAAACAATGCACAAATGTGCAGTGAACTGTGAAATTGTATACGAGCATGGAGAAATTTTAAATAATATTAAGTAACGACGTTTGAAATGTAACGTAAAACATTTCAAGTTTACCGTGGAATAATGACATGCTACGTGCGTATTTATGTTTAGTATTCCACCGTTGAGAACAGTGATGCTCATCGAGTACATGATACGAGCTAATTATAGATTGCCAGGAAGTGTATTGGACGCAAAATGAAATTGTTTGCTGTTACATTTTATAAATATTACATAAATTACAAATAACTTGGATTGTAACGAAATATTTATTCATAAATATACGTGTAGTATACAAATACAATGTTGATGTTTGATTTCGTGATTGAGAGTCACTGGCGGCAAAACTTCGGGAATATATAAACATGTGCGCAGGTTTCTGAGCGGAAAGAGTCCGTTGACACATTCAATGACACTCTTCCTTCGTGTTTTTATATTTTAAGTTCATGAACATATCGTGCAAGATCTATCACTGTGGCAAAAATAAAACGTAGCCGTTTTCTTTTTAGGTTCAAATGATCCAGGAGCAAATGCATGCTTTAGTGGATACTCAATCGGTCGGGGAGGAACGTTACGTGAGAGCGAAACAGGAAAATGCTATGTTGCAGGCGAGAATATTAATGCTTGAAGAAGCAGCTAAGGATGCCGAAACTAGAGCCGAAGAAAGGCTGCAAGTACGTTCAACTACAATTTTTATATATTTTGAAAATTTTATTTACGAATTTTCGATGAAATGAAAATCAACGTTTATTTATAAATATTTATATTATCATATAAATTTGAAAAATGCTTTGTTGTTCTTTGATAACTGACTTCGTGAACAATATTTTTTTAGGCGGAGCAACGGAAGCATAGAGAATGGGCGAATCGTTTGGAACGCGAACGACAGTTACAATTAGAAAATTATGCCATAAAACTGCAAGCGATAGAATTAGAAGGAACTAGTTTAAGGGATGAAATAGGAAGGTTACGCGAACAATTAGAAAAAGTTAAGGCGGAAAAAAATCGGCTGGAGGATGACCTTGAAGAATCCAGAAGAGAAACAGAGGTTGCACGTGAAAGTGAACGCCAAGCCATAAATCGGGCTAATGAAGCTCATTATCAGTTAGAAGCTGCTAGAGAAGAACTTTCGATAAGAGTGGAGGACCAGCAAAGAATAGATGAATTACTGCAACAGGTGGCACAACTTCGGGCACATAATAAAAGTAACAATAGTTTTCTATCAATGTACTCAGCTAAATGATTCATACTCAGGTGTTTAAAATGTGTTAAACGTTTTCTTAGGTCTAGAAGAATCGAGGGATGAATTGCAAGCTGCAGCGGCTCTGCAGGCAGGCCGTGAACTTCTAATGTTAAATCCCTGCAACAGTAACTGTAATGCTGAAAAAGGACCTAGTCTCGCTGTAGAATTATTAGCCGGCATCAATCAAGATCAGGTATTTTACATTTATATTTTCATATCAGATGGAGTATAAAATAGATGTAATGCTTTATGCTAGTATTATACAAAGGGAAGCTTTTAACTCTCATGCTATAATTTACACTTAACAACAATTGTTTTATACACTGAAGTTACCATTCATTTAATTATTAAATTTGATAAAAATAATATACAGTATACGTAGATGTCTATTTGGAATTTCGTTATTTTTTATTGTCGTTTTAGATTTTACCGATTCCGTATTTTGTAGAATCGCTTCTTAAAATATTTGCTATATACATTTGAATTCAAGGAAACAGACACAATAAAAGGTTTGATGAGTCTTTAAACTATACAACCTAAATTTTCTATTGTGTTTTTGAAATTTCTTACATAATTCACCTGTACTTTTAGTTATAATTTTGCACCTTTAAATATTAGTTAATATCTCCCATTCATTATTTGAATTTTATTATAATTGAAAATTAAATGTGCTAAAATTAAATTGTTTCTTAAAATTCGTTTATTACAGATGAGACAAGCTTTAAAGGAGCAGCAAGAGGTCAATACGCAATTAAGGGCATACATTGATGGAATTTTGTTGAACATAGTAGAAAATTATCCTCAATTGTTGGAAGTGAAACAAACTCACTGAACTACTCCAAAAATAATCAGTGATTATATTTAATGTGAACACATTGCGGTCGACGGTCCACATTAAACTGTAGCGCTCACTGGTTCAATCGAATAGAAACTGTATTACGTACTTAGCCATATTTTTTCGTTGAATAGAAATGCCTACGTGAAAACAACTGTTTAAATCAAAGTACTTGAATTCATTTTATCGTGAAATTTACAGTTTTTTCAATAAAAATGATAAATTTTAATTTTCGCATTTGCTTCTTTTACTTCATAAATGTTCGATAATAACACTCTTGTTTCTAATTGAGAAAAATCAAATGGACATGATTAATTCCTTGAAATTTCATACGATAGAATAGGTTATGAATTTTAAGTAGTATTTATTTAAATGTGTTTCTTATGTGTAACTCTGTGTAATGTTACACTGAAAACAATAATAGCATGTTCCTTTTTTCAATGCATTTCTAAATCCATGTCAGGCTACTTAATCATGTTTATAATATTTTTAAGGTACTTTAAATAGTACTTTTAACAAGTGAAAATATTCTTAATAATAGTAAATACATCCTGTTTAACATTATATTAAATTAATACAGTGTACTGTTAGTGGAACAAATATAGTGACATTTGAGAATACCGCAGGATATCGAACAGGAACGCTTCTAGCCATTGAAGGTACAGAAAGAGCATATGAAAGGTGATCTCTTTTGAATCACAGAAAGGCAAGTAATATTACTAGAAGGCCTAATTGAAATACAGATAATAAAATTCGCAGGTTTACTACATATGGCTACGCAAGTTATAGATTATTTTTCTACTACAGTAAAAAATATCGCTTTCAAAATCAATTGAAAGAATTTCAATAAAGTCACTACGTTTATTCTACCGACATTGGAAGTATAATTACAACAGGTATGTCATCCGTGGACCGCATATAAGTACGGTCGAAGATCACTACAGGGCCGCAAAGTGTTATTTGTTCAAGGCAATTGTACATTATACTTCTTTGTTAAAACATTTATTCAAAGATTTATACGAGCAATTTTATCGTATAGCGCCTATACAGATACTATATGGGAAAGCAATTTCCGTCCATGCGAATTTAAAATTTTAGTAACATAATTGCAGTCGTTTAATTTCATGTTTTCACTGCCATTCTTTTACTGTAACTATATACATCTTTTATACAGAGGCAGTAGGCGAGTGAATATTTGCATCGATAGTTCACAATTTATTCTAAAAATACATACTGAATAATATTGTTACGTCCTACACTCACAGCGCTAAGATCTGCACTATTGACAATGTTATTAAATTACCCCTAAATCTACTGCCTATAATATTAATACTTGCACGATTATATTGTGAAGTTATTGGTACTCAACTTATTTTAGTTTTGATGCAGATCTATACATTATTAACAGAAATAAGATGGGAAATTAATATTAGGTTACTGAAAGAAAGTAATTGAATTAATGGGATTATGGATGATTTGTGATGTGTGATGTGTCTTTACTTACAATTATGCACCTTTATGCAAAATTATCTTAAAGAGATGTTTGTTAGAGACACAATATAATGGCAAAGGAAAGAGATATTCATTATCTCTATGTTATCCATTATTAATGGAATTAATTTTATTTTAATTTTCATCCATTTATATTTTTTTGCTAACTTTGGTCCAAATATCACCTTTGATATACGCGTTTATTATCAAGACTTTCAGTAACCAACACGACAATAATATTTATTTTGGTAAAACAACGATTCATTACTTGTCTTTATTTTCTCTTTTGAGATTCATTGATCAAATTATCTGTTGTTTGCACTTAAATGTAAATTCAACTAAAGTAATGTAGCAATGCAATTGTGATGCAGCGACCAATAATAGGCACTAAATACCAAAATATTAGGAAATATTAGATAATTTACAAATTATAAAATGTTATAGTAATATTTTCTTAATATAATATTATTAACTGTTAAAATGTTAACTGTTTGAGTAATGTAGTAAATACGATATTTGGCGCGCGTTGTGTCAACCTCTGCGCTGATGTTAGGACGTTACAGTGTAAGAAATGTAAATAGTAATTATATATTACTATCTATAGTGAGTCTTACCTGAATTTACTGTCTGTAGTAAATCTTACAGTGAATTTTATATAAAATCATGATTTTAATAATTGTTTATGTAATTTAAATATTCAATTAGGTAACCACGATTTGCAATATCGTCCAAAATAAAAGAAATTACTAGTTAAAACATTGTGTAGATTTAAAAATTATATCACAAAATAAAACCGATTTTCTTTTATATCTTTCTAAAGAAAAAAAAATAAAATATTCAATGTGGTCAAAGGAAAAGCATCTATAGGTATGATATATACCTAACATCCAATGTATTTTTGTATCACATGATGTATGAATAAAGTGATGTTATTTTATCATTCAAAGTAAGCTTATATAGTAATAATAGATTATAATAACATAATAACATAATAACATAGGATGTTAGGTCTATCTTATACTTTATGCCTAAATTATTCATAATTACTATTTGAATGGAGTTTTTACGTGAAACAACTATACTATATATAAATAATGGTCAAGTGTAATAATTTTATCTAGATTATGACTCTTAATAATAAAGAAATCTTTTTACTTTAATAAACATAATAAATAAATAAGTAAATAAACGTAAGAAATTTAAACTGTTCAAAGTCATTTCAACTATTGTAAACCTAATCAACTAGCCTAAGGTTATTCTAGTGGGGTGGGTATTTTTTTACGCTTTTGTAAAGCGTAAAAATCAGAAAAAGGTATATTTTGGCACAATTGAGGTAGCGACAATAGTAATGCATGTGCTGATGACGCACGCAAAATTTAAGCTCGATCAATATGATAATTTCTGATGTATTCATGGCAATCAATTTGAAAAATGTAATTTTAAGATTAACACGTTTAACACATTCGCGACCACGGTCGAATTTGAAATATCCTCACTGTGGTACTAAGCCTTTAATTATATAATTCTTACACATTTAAAACGTAGTAAATAAACTATTTTACATAAATGCCATGTATATGTGATATTTTGATATAGCCAAAATGACAATAGGGTATATACGCCATATATATGTTAATATAATCATAGCAACGATAATTAACAGCGTTACACATATGCAGTACCGCCAGATCGGGGAAATTGAGGGGAATACAGTTACTCCCTCTTTGACATTCCGCGGGATTCTGCGGTGTTGTGGGGATTGTTGGGGGATATCTGCTGATGAGGAATAGTGTCGTAGAAGGGGTAGGAAAGAGTGGGAGAAAAGACTTTTTCTGGCTTCACTAGTCATGTTATTTGAATCATATTGCATTTAACAATGGTACCTTAAAAACGAACTGATCCAAAAGTGAAAGAAAAATTTATTTATTTTCAACAATGTGTGAGAAATTAAGTAAGTCAAATATTTAATATTCATATAACTAAAAAAATACTCCCTGAAACCTATGGATAGCGGGTAAATAAATAAATAATAATAATAACTAAAAGAATAGTTACTCAGGATATATAACAGTAATGAATATTTTATATACATAGATACTGATCAAGATATCGTCAGTGACGATAACAGTAGCAGTAGCAGCAGCGATTTTCCATCTTTTAAAAAACCACGTTTTCTGGAAAAGTGGCTACAAGATCCGGAAATGTCGATGTGGTTGAGAAAGCAAGATGATATACGTGCATGGTGTACCATATGTGAGACACATTTAAAAACTAGTGCTGGAAAGCATGACTTAAAAAGACATGCAAATAGTCTGCATCACAAGAATAATGTGCGTAGAAAGATGCAAGTGAAAGGAGCAGATACAAGTTCAACTTCACAAGTTTCCAAAAATGAAATTAAGGAAGCAGAAATTAGATACTGCTTATTCGCAGTTGAACACAACATTAGCTTTCAGATGTTTCAAGCATTAAGTAAATTAAATAAAATTATAGCTTCGAAACTACCATTAATGCAATCTATTAAATTAGGAAGAACTAAAATAAGAGCTATCATTAAGAATGTAATTAATAAATCTTTAATTTTAGATATGAAGGAAATGTTGAAAGAAAAATATTTTTCTCTTATAATTGATGAAAGTACTGATAATACAAATATTAAAAATTTAAGTATTTTAGTTAGATTTATACAGAATCGTAGTATAGAAACACATTTGTTAGATTTAATTAGAGTAAAAAAGCCTACTACCGAAAACATGTACAAATGTATAATAAATAGTTTGAATAAGTTTAATTTATCCGTTAGTAACATAGTTGGGGTAGGTGTGGACAATGCCAACATTATGGTAGAGGCCAAGAATATTTTAATGTCACGGTTTATCGACAGTAATGATGAAATTATAGCAGTCACATCAATAGATAGTTTAAGAGAAGATAAACCAGAATCATGTACACAAATCATAGAATTTTATAGAAATGTTCAAAAATTTTATCAAATTAATCATAATGATAAATTTTTAGCTGCTTTGAATTTCTTAAATCCAGAAGTAGCACTTGATAATGCAAAACATACAGACCAAATAGAAATTCTCTTAAGAAAATATCCTTCAAAATTTAATACTGAAAAAATGATCAATCAATGGTTTTTATTGTCCAAGAAACCTACCGAAAATGAACAAAAAAATTTACGAACATTAGGAGTAATTGAATTTTGGTTTAGTGTAAGCAATTTGAAAGATGATTTAGGCAACTTGTTATATGATGAAATTGGAAAACTTGCATTTCTATGTCTTTCACTACCACAATCAAATGCAGATGTGGAAAGATTTTTTTCCATGATTACAGATATAAAAAATAAAAAAAGAAATAGATTGGATACACAGATGATTTGTGCTATGACACGAATTAAATTATACTTACAATCAAAGCACGTTGATGCGTGCAGTTTTAAAATATCAAACCAATTATTAGATTCTTTTAGTTATGAAATGTATCACAAAGAAGAAATCCCGTCAGAATTAAAGGGAATCTTGCTCCCTGATGAAACTGATGAAAACGACTGTGACAGTGATGCATTATGAGTATTTGTTTGTTGATTGTATTTTATTGCATTATATATAATTGTTTATTATATTTGTTCTTGTATTTAGTATTCAGTTTTACAATTTGTTTCATCTTCCCAATACCAAATTTTTTAATATATGTATTGAAAAAGATAGTCTCAAAACTGTTATGTCCATTTTTTAAAAATGTTAAAATATATTACAATTTATTTTTATGACATTTATGATTTTACTGGAATGAAATTCCATACTACAGATTTCAAAATTTTTTACAATGTACACAGTAAACATTCATACTACGCTTCACAATTGTAACTCCCACATGTTACAATTCATTTTATACGCTACAATAACCTAATAATAACCTAAAATAACAATAACCTAAAACTTGCGATAATGTCATCTTATCCGCTTCACTCTACTCGTGTTGTGTCCGTCGTCGCACACGACAATGAAATAAAAAAAAAAATCTTTTCTTCCACTCTACCTTATCCTTTCCAGTACCCCATTCCTCATCAGCGGGCATTCCCCAATAATCCCCACAGAACCGGGCGGTAATGCCAAGGAGAGGGTAACTGTGTACCCCTCAATTTCCCCAATCTGGCCACACTGCATTTTCATTCTTAAAGTACGATTGCCAATGCAATATGATTCAAATAATATGATTCATTACGCCACCGTTACCGCCAAGCGTCGCCTTATTACACGCGGCACGTCACGTGACCAGCTACGGTTTAGTTTGATATTGGAGTATACTCACCATGGGGTAATTGGGTAGTGGAAGGGGTACGGTGGAGTGGAAAAACAACTTTTTCTAAGTCTGATCACGAACGTATTAAAGATTTGAGGGATTCTAACCAAGCTATGACTGCGCCACACTGGAGGCATATTGGGAGCTCACAATCCCTCTAGGGTCTTTCCCCTCATGAAGAATAACCCTCTCCATATCTACATTTACTTGTTGTATTGTACACTAGGTACATCGAACTACTTACCTATACTTCAGTCTAGGACAGCCGCTAAAGTAATGATTAGGGGGGGGGGATGCTGTTTGTGAGTTACTAGTATGAGGGGAGTTAGTTAAACACCTCTGTAGTAGGGGGAACCACTGGTCGGAGTCACTAGCTCGAGGGGCGACAGTTTGACACTTCTGACGTGCGGAATGTCCGATGTACACACGAAAAAAGCTCTGGAAGAAATGTGGATGTAATTGGTCAGTTTTCATCTTTTCTCATCTCATTTTGGATACTAATTTGCTATTCGCTAATACGGTTTCATGTACCAATCAAAACTATAAACAAAACAAAACCGAGAAAATCTTTTTGGCCTTGTGCCATCCAGAAACTCTTATGTGCAACGTAAATACTGGACCGTACCCATAAATTAGAATATAAGAAAGGATTATCATTTCTGCTGATAATTCTTGAGTAACCTAGGCAGGATGATCAATTGTTTTGCTCACGTATGTGTATCGTAGTATAAACAGTCTCATACGCAATTTCGATAACTGCGTTTGATATAAAACATAGAGTATGGAATATTAACATTAATGAAATTGTTATGTTTCTTGAAATTTTAAAGATTGAAAATTTGTGTAATGATAGTAAGTAATTTTAAAATCAGCATTTCTGTAGATTGTTTATGAATTTTGGATTTTAACCTATTATGTTTCAGTGTACTTGTATATAGTGCTAATGTAAACAATGTTACTTGTGCTTCAACATTTCTATTATATAAAGACGTGTTAAATATATATTGAAGTTAAGGAGGTTTATAAAAATTTCATTTATAAATATGCATACTCCAGGAGATTTTATTGTACATGGAGGTGATAGAGCATTTGCAAACAGACAGAAACTTCTATTTGATAAGTTGTCAGATGCAGAACAGAAATGTCATAAAAATAAAATTGCCTCTGAACTCACAGATGAAAATATGGTTATTGATGAAATAAGTGATTCTCAAATTATAAGATATGGAATAAAACAGCATTATGAAACAAGGCGATTTCGTGGCAAAGAAAGTATTTTTAAACGACCTGAAGGTCCTGCACCAAGGGCAGCTAATAGAAGTATACCAGATTACCACAGGAATCCTCATAAATGGAAGAAATATAGTTTAGATGATGTATCTAATGATGACATGACTGACCAAAGTAATACAAGAGCTGCATTATCATTTTTAAAAGAATTGAGAGCAAGAAGATTAACTGAACAAAGGAAAGATGCAGAGAAAATGGATGTAACTGAAAAGGAACAAACTGAGATAATATTTAAACCCAAGAAAATAAAACCAACTTTGGAAATTAAGTTCAAAAAACCAGGAAATAATGTTGGAAAAACGTTAAATGAACCAATAATTGTTGATCATGATGACAAGCCAGTATTCAGAAGTAGTAAAATTATTATGCCAGAATATGTTATTGGACAAAAACATAAGAAAAAAATTAAGAAAGACAAACCAGTACAGAAAGTAGATTGTTTGAAACAACTTAAATTGGATCACTTAGAAGAATTGGATGAAGAGCAAGATTAAACTTATTTAATATTGTTTTAATATACATATAACATTTTTAATAAAATACATATGTACATTAGTTACTTTCTTTCCTCAATTAATGTATCCTGAATGTAACAATAATAAAATACTATCTATCGTTTTAAGTAGAAACTGTTATATGTTCTATACAATTTTTGTCCATTTTAATCTCTTGAAATAATTACGTGTTTTTTTTTAATCCGGCACGATTGCGACTGAAAATGTTTGCCTTGGATGAAATGAGACAGATATAATTATAAGCAAACATACAGAATGGTTTCGCTGCTCATATCCCACATTTGTGTTTTATCATTCAAAAATAATATAATGAATATATTTATTTGTACATTAAAGATCAATAATCAAGAACACAAGAACTTTAGAGCGAGTTAAACCTGAAAAATTTGAATAAAGCCGCTCTATAATATCTCTTCCGGAAAGGTGCGATTGCGCGCATCAGAAGTGACTACTTCCTGTCGGCTTTAGTCACTACTATTCAAAAGTGCTTAGTCTACTTTGACTATTTTCAAGTTTTCATGTAAGCAATGGCGGTCAATGAATGAAACATAAATTATTCATCTTCGGTAAGTCACATAATGCAATTGTGGGAGATTATACATTTCGCTAAATCACAGTGAAAAAACTGGCTTGTTTGATTGGGAGGGGAAAAATTCATAACCTGTCCATACACTAACTTCGTCACGATTCAAAATGGCGTGTCATCGACGAACGAAAAACGTAGACAAGTTCGCGATTTTAACATTGTGCTAAGTTCGTCGTTAGTGTAAGTACTTATATTTGGTGAATTTATTTCTCTTGCCAGGAAAGCAAGAAACTGAAAAAGGTTATGAAACTGTCTTCGTGTGCGTCGCTCTAGGAAGTTCGGTAGTATATTCGTAGTCGAGGTACGGATTTAATAATGCAGGAAATCGTCCTAGCAGCCTTCTCCGTGATATCGAGTCTCCTCATAGTATTTGGCCTGGTGCTGCTAGGTAAGAACGACAGATAGTAACGTTCCATTATTGCTGCGCGGTACGCGGAGTGTTCCGAAACGTTGTTACCCGAGCTGTCGAGTAGTCATATAGTTTCGATGTTTAAGGTATAGTTAAAAACTTTTGAACACATACTTAACCTCTATCGTCACGTGTATACTTAGTCCCGGTAACTATTCGTAGTTGAAAAATTGAAATTTTTGTTTCTCTTACATAATACTCAATTGAATTGCCATTGAGAAACTTCTTTTAATTACATTATGTTAGTCTTTATTATATTATCCAGTTTACTTTGATTTAGTGTTATGGATAACTGCAACAAATTTATTAACATACATTTTTTCTTTATTTATATGTTCGGAATATTCTGAAATATAATTTACAAGATGTATTTATATATTTTTCCACAGGTTGGTATTTAGTTTGGAAGTTTTTCCTTTCACGATTCCGCTTTGTCCGAGAATTATTGGGTGGAATGAGCGAATCTTCATCCGTCAATGATTTAAAGAATGGTAGATCACGTATAAAGAAAATTCGCAGAGATTGAAGCTTTACTTAAACATTTAAGAAGAAAAAATTAGGGTACCTATAAGAGAACATTTAATTAGAGGAGTGTGTTGTTTGTGTGTCTGTAACATTCTAATTTACAAAGATGTCTATAAATATACGCTGTGCAACAACGGATGACTTGTTAAACATACAGCATTGTAATTTGCAATGTTTGCCGGAAAATTATCAGATGAAGTATTATTTGTACCATGCTCTTTCTTGGCCACAATTGAGCTACGTGGCAGAAGATGAAAAAGGCAGAATAGTGGGTTATGTCCTTGCCAAAATGGAAGAGGACTGTGAAGACAACCCTCATGGTCACATTACCAGTTTGGCAGTGAAACGATCTCACAGAAGACTTGGCATTGCACAGAAATTAATGAACCAAGCCTCCAGGGCAATGGTAGAATGTTTTGGAGCAAAATATGTGTCGTTACATGTACGTAGAAGTAATCGAGCAGCTTTAAATTTATATACAAGCAGTTTGCAGTTTGAGGTATCAGAAGTGGAACCCAAATATTATGCAGATGGAGAAGATGCTTATGCCATGAAACGAGATCTCAGTAGTTTTCATATTGAAAAGAATGCTGCAAAAGAAAAAATGAATAAGGATGGTAATACGCACACTCATACTGGCAGGTGCTGCGATCGTTAATAGTTGGTTTTAGATATTCATACAATAATTAGACTTGAAATTATTTTTTGCATTATTAGTTCCGTACTATTTGGATCTAAATTTGTGTCATTTATGCATATTTTTTATAAGTAACTATGCATGGAAAATATGTGAAAAATACTAAAAGTCAAGCATAATGGCTTGAATGTTTGACCTGTACATTATCACAAGAACTTTACAAATACTGGATAGAGTATTTGTATCTATTCAAGCCTTACCTGAGACATATGAAATATTCTATATGCCACTAAGAAGGGGTGTACTTGTTGATACTTACACAGGGATTAGATGAGAGACATCTAAACTATTGTATGTACTTTCATGCAAATTAAGTTAAATGTTTCTAATAAATGTATCATTGCGTGTAGTTAATTGATATACCATGTTATTTAGAACCCTCAAATCTTAATAAAATTGTAATGCTAAACAGAGAAAAAGGTATAATTTATATAGTTTTCATCTGTATATTTAATTAATCTTTATTGAACCATTGAAACTATAATATACAAATAACGCACCAGTATACAAAATTATCACCCAGATGTCACCAAGCAAATCAAGTGCAAGATGATACCAACTTTTCAACAGAAAAAAATTTTATACCCGAAAATTTGCGTCCACGTTATGTAAAACAAATCTGATTCGTTTGCACTATTTGTAAATACTTTTCGCACTTCCTTGAGTATAATTCAATGCTTAGAAGTTAAGATTTGATATTGCACGATTTTTCAAATGCTTTCTTTACCTGCTGCGTCGATATATTATTGTATTTATGTCTACATTGTATAGGAATAATTGTATAATACATTATATTGTAATATACTTATGTACATATTAAACGCCCTTAAAGTGACATAATTGATTCAGTTCAAAGGATACATTAATCCAAAATGAAATTTTGATTAATTTTCAAATTTGCTCATTAATATGCTCCAATAAATTCCTAAACGATAATTATTGTATAATTTCATTGCAGTAGCAATATTCGAAAAATTAATTGAAGTTCTATCCAATCAGCAGTACTCGATAATTACAAGCACTGACAGTAAAATTCTTTCACGATTATAAGAACATTAATTGCAAAATATTTTAGCACGAAAGAATTACAGGTACAATGTACAAAGATTGAATAGAAAAAAAACGTTACAAAACGATAATGTTCTTTACCCGTTCGATCGATAATGCATATTTCTGTTACATATGTTTCGATATCAAAGGTAAATTGTCCGCTTAATATTACGTCACGATTATCGGATACGATTTAACAAGAATGATAAGCACCTATTTAGTATCGACTATGTATAAATTCTAAATACATATACAGTAATTCTAACTGCCTTTCATGCCTCTTATCTTACAAAAACACTTCGCCAATAAATTATAATACAAGTTTTGTAAACGAAGTTTGTGTTCACGCGATATGCTCGATTAATATACTTTCTAAAAAATAAACTACATACAAGCTATCGTGGTAAATATTCTAAATACGGATAATCGTTTGAAAGTACATATTCACGGTATTTTGGGTATTTTCAGCGATCTCTAGTATTTCTCCGTGAAAAAAGGGAGACAAAAGGCTGCCTTACAAATTTACGGTTGTCAATCATCTTTCTAAAGCCAGCATATTAAGAAAATAACTCCTTATCTATATAACCTAAGAAACACATTGAAATAAAAACAATTTCATTGTATCTGTGTAAAATGTGATTTTTGTGGATTAACAAAAAATTCAAGATCCGCCAATGATAAAAGTTACAAGTTTATTCGTAACTAACCTCTAAAAATGGCGACTCAATTATTATGGAACTTTTACAATCAGCAGTTATTGTGGCCGATAAAAAATCTTATTCGTATTAAATTATTGTTTTCATTGCCCTTGTAAGGAGAGCCCAGTTGAATCAACATTGGAATGATTGTAAACAGTCTACAAATTTAATGTTCGTTTTTTTTCAGTCTCCGATGTGGATTTGTAATTGATTGAATGTTTTGGAAGAGCCATAAAAAGGACCGACACGAAAAAGTCGTGTTTCGGTAATAAAATGGTATAAAAATTTGTTTAAAATCGGCCTCTAAAAAGACACATTTATGTTCTACATGGTGCTCCAATACATTCTTGTTTTTAGATGACTTGTGAAGTCATTAGCAAGAATCATTTGAACACTATGTACATTGTTAAGTTTATTTGTAAATATGAACATTTAAAGGTCGCATGGCAACATCTTGGTGACTTTTGGACTATTAACTCCATAGAAAATGATTTTCCATGAGTTTTTGAACATTTGTGTATGCTTCCAAATGAAATGATTACCAAATGAAAGAGGCACAAATACAGAGCTGTTTGTGTTGAGTGAGTGTCATCAATGCAATATACAGCTATGATAATAATGAACATGCTGATAATGATAACAGCACATTACATTTGAAATGAATCTCAATAATTTAAGAATCATTTCAAATATGTATGTTCTACACTTGCTATAATGTCTCTTATGTTGTTAATTTACTCCACACCGTTAGCTAACAAACGACACGGTTACATGTATTTCCTATAAAAGGATACAATGTCTATATTCTCAAGTATACAATGCTTTAATGATTCTTACCACTTGAACCATATAGTGATCAATCAAAAGTGGTATAAAACATTGAAGTAGTGTGTACATTATAAAAATGCTTGCCTTGAAAGAGGTTTCCTTACATTCTAGGTTCCTGTGCTTTGGCAGTTGCGTAGTTCTAAGTATCAATAGGCCTCAAGAACTATTTATTGCAATAGAAGGAGCTTAGTTGATCAAAATGTTTCAGTCAATACAATTTTTCCATATCTGGTCCAAATTTATTTTTCCACTGATATTCTAAGTCATGCATGTCCAAGCCAGCATTCGACGAGTTAATTTCAATGAGTAAAAAGCCAAGAGCAAGGTATTATTAAATCATATAATTTTTTAAGAAGCAGAGTCTTATGATGCAATAATTTCTGAATGATAAATTTTATTTAATGCCACTGTTCCTAATCTTCTGTTTTTCTTCTGACTTGTGAGATTAAAAACCATCCATTGCTCGTGAAGGCCCAACTTACACATGCTTGTCCTAAACTATATCTGACTCAAATATTTATATGTAAGTTCCACTACTATAGGAGTGAAAAAACATATCACTCCTCTACATATAAGTTCTTATAGAGACTTTACTCTGCAGATTATGATTCTCTCTTTTCACCTATTTTGTCTTCCATCCTCTATCTATCATCGAAGTCTCGACTTAAGTTTGATGGTCAATGATAACAACAACAGCTGCCGACGTTTTCAGCATTGCTCTTCTTACAGTGATTAAAGTTTCTTGACAGATGGAAACGGTTTAACCATCAAGCCGATCTAAGGAACTTGCACGCAAAAAGAAGTCTTTGTAGGATGAAAATGACGAAGCTCGCTAACTTTGCGTGTCGCCGGCTTCTTCTGTATTGAACATAAGAATTTCTGATCTTTGGATGCTCAAGGCTGTTGGGCGGCCTGAATCATCGCGATCTTTAGGTCCTTGGCCAAATGGGAAACATCTACGACACTGTCAACCATTTCTTGAACTGCAGATACGCTGGGGAAGAACTGTGCCGCCTGCTTCGTCTTTGAAACAGTCTGCGCAAGTGCTTCGTTCAGTGCATTTGCGCATTGTAACACACGTGTTCGTACGTCATTCCTGGTTACATTTCTATGGACCGTATCACCGATGTGTACCAATCTATGAGCGCTTAAAACCACAAATTTCCCATGTGCCAAGAATACCTGTTAAAACAAATGAAAATGTTTTCTATTATTTCGATGCTTTGTACAACATTTGTAAAACAGTACATAAAATAATATTTTTGTTCATATACATATCCAAAATATTTGTATTTGAATGATCAATCTCTTTATCTTTAGACCTAGGGGTGTCGAACGGGCAGCTTAAGAGCTTTCTAGGGTCTTTCCCTCAAAAAACAGACTTGAAAGTAATTAAATGCTTTGTAATATTGAATTCATCGCTTAATATCAGTTTTAAATTATTATTGTAACTAATATAGAAATTACAAACAGATGACTCTAAATTGGAAGTATTTAATTGCATGCGGCGAATGTGTATACGCAGAAGAGTGCGAAAAAAGAGGATTTGTAAGTCCATTGTAACAACAGTTAAACATGAAAACGGTTATTAATGGTATGGAGTTGTTTTAGGGTAAATAGAAATAAAAGTTTAATAAAAATAAATGGAATTTTGAAAAAGGAATCGTGCTTAACCATTTTAAATAACTATGCTGCTCTTAGAAAGCGATTAATCCAACAGAATTTTTTAGCAAAATTTTGTAACTCTGATTTTAATCCGATGAAAAAAATCTGTGCGGAATTAGATCAGAAAATGTAAGAAATTTACTCATTATCCTAAAAAAATGTATGGAACCATCTACCTACTTATAATATGTATGAAACTGAGTAGTACACAAAATGCGATCAAAATCTAATAATGTGAATGCCAAAATTGATTATACTGTTAATTAAAAAGCGCAACGAATATACAAAATACTGATAAAAATTATTGTCTAATTGTAAAAGAATGTAGTTTTCATCAAAACAAAAAAAAGCTTTGGTAAACATGAGTTGAAAGACCATAGTTTTGCAATTACGCCATGTTTTCTACTATAAGCTAGTAATAAAATAACAGATTCTCCAACGTATTTATTTTAATTTATTTTGTTTATTTCTTTGTACTGAACATCAATTATTTTGTGAAACATCTTCTAACTCTCAAACTAATGATTTTTAAAGATATATGTATCAAAACATTTTTACTTGTTTCGATGAGTTTGTCATTCTCTTGATGTTAGAACTTTTCTCAACATTCTAATTTTAAAAATTTAATTTTAAATTGAGAATTTTCCCTGTTACTAACTTATAGAGCGCTTTCGAAATATTGCACATTTCTATACATAAGTGGTGACATTGTAATAAACTTGCTGATCATTTTTCAAGATCTTGATGATTTTTCAGGTTCATTCAATATTCTGTAATTGGTTTATATTTATGAATGGGAGTGCAAACGATACTTGCCTTGGGTGGTTGATTGTGCGCGACTGTTTGCATGAAAGCGTCAATGGCGTGAGTTAGGTGGTTTCCATGTGTGATCACCTGGGCGGCGTAGAAAGCCAGCAATTGTTTATCGTTGGGATCCATAGGTGTCGGAGTTGTGGGTGGCATTTGAATCGTCGCATTGTCCGCCTCGGATACAAGGAGGTCGTAATTACTACGAAGTTCCTGCGGCAGCGCCGCCCTTAGCTCCTCTCGTTGCTTCGCGACCACTTCCCTCGAGTCAAGATTTACGTAATCGTAATCTTCTCCGGCGCCGCTATTGTTGCTGCTGTCGGTCGAGATGATTGATGATCGTTTGAAGAGCAGCGTCGAGTTCCCCTGTTGACGACAAGATGTACTTCTTTTAATATTAATTTTATTGAATCGAATTCTTTGTAAACATTAAGACACCTTTTGAGTCTATACTTATACCCTAGTGTATAATTATAAATCAGTGCATTAAAAGGTCGTTCTGGTATACAATTTGTTTCATAATTTTTCGAAAGTACGAGCTTTTAAGATGCTATTGTTAAGTTTTGGTAATAGGATTCGGAATATTTTGTTCGTTACATTTGTATTCTGGAATTGATTTATATAGTTTCGAAATCAACTTGCATTCCAACGTTCAGGATAACAACGAGAATTTCAACTTTTACGTGTAGCATTTTGTTCTCAAGCGTTTCTTCCTTGACAATAAAGTAATATAGATTGTCACTTTTTGAAATACATGGAAGTCACAGAGGGAACCGTATTTCGTGTCATCACTGCCAACCGTCGTTTTATTAAAGAATCTAAAGAATCTAAAGAATCTAAAGAAAACGAGGCAAAGCGTAGAAAGGAAAATTCAGGAATAAATGACGAGCATAAATTTTTATAGATCTGGCATCACCGATTAGTTGTTAGTTGTTAAAACCCATCGTTGTCAGCGATGTAAAATTATTTAAAAGCTTTTTACGATTATACATTGCAAATTATATATTTACAATCTTCCTAATATGATTTTTGTTCTACACACATACAGTAAATAGAAAAATCGAAATCAATATTCATTGCCCTTATCCAACAAGAATCATAGATAGGTATCACCTATTTTTCGAATTCTATGAACAGAACAACCTATGAGCAGGATATCAATACATTTGTTGAGACACATAATATTACACTTTTGGTACAGACATGCCAATATAAAGTCAAATATAGTTTCTCTAAATCGTATGTAAAACGTTAAACACAGAGAAGTTGCCTATATTTGCTAGACTGATAGAAGCGAATACAAATTCTTCAAGTTCGATTCAAGAAGAATCTTATATAACTGCCACAACAATGAAGGCAAACAACGCCAAGTGTAGTTTCTCCAAATCTCAGTAGAGCATTAAATCCTAAAGATCTGTCTATGTTCTCTACACCAACAGAAATGGACATGAATTCTCCAAGCGGGATTCGGGGAGGATCCTGTATTATCTGATCAAGGTTTGCGTTGTACAGTACACGTGCTTCCACAGCTACTAGATGCTCACCTGAATGAAACTGGCGACCTGACGAACGTCTTCCGTGAGTGCTCGGGCGCACGCGATCAGCTGATCGAGTGGATCTGGTTGTATGGGTGGCACGAGGGTGGACGGTGGCCCGTTAGTAGGTGTCGGGGCATCGCCACCCCCGCGACAGAGCTTACCAGCGTCCCATTCCATCGCGTCCAGCTCGGTGGCGGCTTCCTGCACGAGTTTGTCAGAATCACGTAGGGCCTTGACCAGGGGTCGTAATTTCGTGGCCAATCCCTTGTCCGGTGCCTTGCCGGCGTTCCCCAGGGTGCCTGCGCAAAAATCGGACGAGTCTCTTCAGCCCGGAATCCTTTCCACCTCCCCGGTTCGTTAATTCAGCTCGGTCTGGTTGTTCTATTCGTTAACGGCCACTTCTCGCCGCCCGTACGTTTCCTCGTGAGAATAATTTGAACAATTGCGGAACGTGCTCTTCGATTTAGTGACGCTTCGATGTTTTCGGTGCAATCTACGTGCGTTTTGGAATCATACGATAACAATGATGTTGCTCTTTAGTCCTTCGTTTATAGTTTTTATGTCAGCCTAATTCGAAGATTTTTTGTATAAATTTGAAAATGGATTCTTTTTGTCTTGTATTGATTCAGGACAATTTATTAGGATCTGTCAGATTCAATCGCCACGAGAAATATTTGTTTTTTCAGTTTCCGTTTTGTTAAGAAGATTGTTTTGATTGTTTTTCGGATTGTAAGGAATGTCAATTCGAATGAATATTAAAATTATGCTCTTATGGAATGTTTAAGATTAAGATATTTAGGTACCTAGGATACCGAAGGGTATAATTTTATCTCAAGATGAAACAAATCAAAATACAATTATACAAGATGTAATATATCTATCTGAAGATTTTGTTCAGTATAAGTTTAGGTTCAACATGAATATCAGCTACAATCGGAAACATGTTTTGTTTTAACACATTCACGTCGGGCCGTAATAATATATGTTTAATTATAGATCGTAATAATAACAATATTTGCAAAAATGATGTCGGAGTGTATTCTTTCGTTAGGTGTCTAGCTTTCTGACTTCAGTTGTTATTTTTCAGTAAATGTTAATAAACAATTGCATAAATAATTTACTTATTAACGTTTATTTATTTTAATGCTATAACTTAACTGTGTAATACCGGTGGCACATACTGGCGTGAACGTGTTAACCCCTATTCGGGATAACTTTAGAAAAACATAAACTTTACATTGTACATCTTCTATCTTCTATTCATCGCAAACACATAAATTTACAAAGTATACAACGCAAAGGAGAGGAAGAGTTAGGAAAAAGGGTATATTTAATTTTTCTCTTATTTCCTTTCATCTAATTCTTCTCCTCGATTTTTCTCTTATTAGGCTTATTGTTTACTGTTATTAGAAATACAATTACCTTCGGCAAATTCAGCGAGGTCGTGTAAAGACGTTCTGAGCCTAAGGGCGGCCAGTCTAAGATCCATCAAGGTTGCATCCAGTCGTTGAGGCGTTCTCCAAAGAGGAATCACGAAGCCGAGTAACCTGGTTATTGCCGCCGATGCCTCGCTTTGCAGCCTTTGCAGACATTCCAACGCGGAGTCCAGCTCCAAGGGAAGCTCCTTGCTGACCGGGACATCGTAGATCTGCTGTGTTTGCGATGGTGGTGGCGGTGTTGGTGTTTTCGGCACGGGCGTGTTGTGCCGGGACGGTAACGAGGAAGCTGGAAGACGTGTTCGAGGTACATCGTAATCGGGCGCAGCGAGGCTGGATCTGAAAAAGACATATTTTTGTTATACTCTAAAGCAGAGGTGTCTAATATTTTAGCTTCCCTGGGTCTCATTGGAAGAAGACGGGTTGTTATGGACCCCACATAAATGAACTCTTTGCGGTCGAATGTATCGTATTGGCGACTTTGAGCTTCGATATCTAAAATTGAAAACTGCGAAGGAATAATTTAATTATTCAACTAACGAAAGACTGACATGTGACCTTTTTTCTTTTAATTAAATAAATAAATAAATTCAATTTAATTCTACGTATTGGTAGGCTGACATTTTTAAGTAGTGTAACGGAGAAATGTGGTCACGCTGCTTGGTATTCAAACGATTAAAAATGTGAAGTATATAAATATTTAGATGCGTGTCCTCCTCATCGATCTCAATGACCTTGAAACATGTTGTCAAGCTCGTCACTTTGAACAATTTCTTTCTACAGGGTAGACCGAGGCGAATCGAAACGAAATAGAATTCCAGTTTATTAAAATTTAAAAATCCTTTTTCATTTTTTATTATTAGGGGTTAAATACTTTTATTCCTTTAACGTCAAAGGAGAAGATCTGAATCGTCTCCGTCTACTCTACACATGGGCGATCTATTTTAGTTTTCAAGTTACACATGAAAATATGTGTCTTGCTGTACGTTTTCTTTCACTTATTGAAGTTTGATAACGATAAAGCAATTCCATCCATTACTGTCGCGAGAGAAATCATAAAGTAAGGGAATAAAAATGATAGGAGCGTCTTCTACTGATTGAAAAACATTTACTTGAGCGGCTCGAGAAATATCAATTATTTTTCTGTTTCTATTTTTTGCGTACATGAAACGTCTAAAATATTTCAATGTGAAATTTTCTATTACAAAAGTAACTTATATTTTAGTTACACCAATCAGCAATTCGGGTTTTCGAATCATTCGATTCTGAGATCGAAGAGTTTAACAATTTTTAGCCATGGTAGTGCACTTCGACTAGAAATCACTGTGGAACCATCTTAGTCGGGAATCTGTCGTTTTCGAAACTAAACGGAACTAATTTCTCTGAAACCGTGGTAGGAACGACCGCTGTTGGCACTGGTCCGGTATGTAAGCTCAGGCTTCTCGAAATAAATCTCTTCCTGGTAGCTATGTGTCTCGGTACTATCGCGAATGTACACAGTTCATTGTACTCAATGTTGATGCTTCAAATACATTTGGGTTATGCATATCCACGTATATTACATTCAACAATACAACACGTTGTTCAATGTTATTCTAAATGGATATAGAAACTTCTATAGAAAATTTTATAGAAAATCAAAGAAACAATAAAAGACACAAAGTTATTAAAATTAGCCATTAACGTCAAGATATTTATAGAAGTTCATATTCGCTTAAACTATTTACCTACAAATAATAGGGTCAAATAAAAATTAATTTTCTCATTAAACAGTTGTAGTAAGTTCAAAATTCATATGTACTTAGTAACAAATATATTTCAAAATAATATTTTATATGTCATAATATATGGTGTTGATATCAGCACTGAAGATATTGGAGACAATATGGCGGCTTATATAAGAAGGGAAGTCATAATTTTACAGAACGGTAAAAAGGTCCCTAGGCGGGAGCTTACAGTTTTCTGATGGGGATGGTGTATTTGGCAGATGTGGAAACGGGCTGGCAACCTGTTTTAGATATTTTGCCGTTTCCAAACATCTGCATTTTTATGATGGTCGTGGTTAGGCCTCGTTAGTTAGTTAATTGGGCCTAAAGTAGTTAGACTTAAAAAAAATTCTTTTACCTAACCCTTTAACAAACTTTTAATAATACAACATTATGTATAATAATGTGCATATTATTACTATAGAATTATGTAATATACGTATATGCATATCCTTAAGTAGTTAGTAAAAATTAACATTCATTACATTCTGACCTTTCACTTCGATGCTTACCGCTAAAAAATTACGGGCCTAATTCTTTGATCAAAAACTATATATCAGTTTTAACACATTGAATGTCACGGGGATCACCGGTGATCATCAACTAAATCGAAATATTATAGTTCATTGAATTAAACGATGATTATTTGGAAACATTTCTATATTATAAGTGATGCTACCTAATGCGGTGACATTCAGCTAGATGAACGCGCAATAATAATAATGCAATTCAATCAAACGATTTAATATTATGTTTTTTCCATTTTATGTATTTTGTTTTATGGAACTATGCGGCATTCAACGTAATAACGCAATAACAGTTGCGTCTATACTCCGGCTCTTCATAGCTATTTCAAGAACTGAATTCGATATCACAACTGTTTTCAACCTCTGCTTAAAGTCGTGCGGAATTTACCGTAAATGTATCAAAATATCCACTAGCACTCATAGCGTTAAGGTTAACGTGTCGCGTAAACGGTAGTATATCGCAGGATGAAAACAAGATATCAATGTCGAGGTCTCGTTTCAAGGTGTCACGTACCTGTTCGATCCGCTGAGGGACCCGTCGTTTGTGAGGCTGGACGCCGAGCTGCTAGGTGTCAGGGGCTGCAAAGGTCTCGGCACGTCGTAGCAATCTAGGGGTGTGACGCCGGAGCCTCCGGAGCAATTTGAGTTCGGCGTGCAGGAGGTGGGTTGCCTCGGGATATCGTAGCAAGAGGGTGCAGGGCTCGGACTACTCGCCGGCGATGGAATCACGGGAACAGCTCGCGGTGGAACGTCGTAACATTCGCTTACATCGCCGCCGTTGTCTATCGAACCTTTGGTGCCGGTTGTGTATCGTCCTGCATAGAAAATTCCGGGAAACAAGAAATGAAATGACAGTGCATACTGTTTCGTCCTAAAACTCCTTAACTCTTTGGGGTTAGCTGGGTTCGAAACTGGCCCACCCTTTGTTCAGATTCTTATGCATAGTGGTATACATTTGAACCCACCTCGAAAAATTGAAGTTACTTATGATCATACAGTTTCATATTTTATTTAAAGTTTTTTATCCAGTTGACAATGCTATGAACTAACGATAAATGCGTAAATAAGTGAAAACAAAAACGCCTCTGCGTTTACCTGATTCGACGGCCACAGACTTCTTTTTGTGGAGCTATTTGAATTAACGGATTCATGATTACGCTATTCAATTTTATTGCAACTCCGTGATACAATTATTATAAAGAAAACTGAAGTATCATAGGTTTCATTAAATTTATTTACGAAAATAAGAAAATTATGTTTGTTACAATACGGTGAATTTATAAAGTAATTTATAAAATATAGTTTCCCGAGGAGAGCACGCGCGAGTAAGACTAGTCATTTTCACTTAAGGGGTTAACATTAAAAAGTAATAAATTATTCTTAAAATGAAATAAACGTGTCAAGTACTTCACTGTTATATTACTTTTGAACAAAATATATTCAAAAAAACAATGTCAGCACATTAGCAAACAACTAGAAATATCACTGGAAATTAACCTATTAAACGCTCTCTACATAGTTCTAGCGTTAACGAGATGCAAAGTCCGTAACAGCAGCTTAGTCCCTTGAACTTAACCTATGACGGTTTTCCTCTATAAATTGTCAATGTTTCCGGTGATTCGAAGTAAGTAATCAAAGGGGCGAGTGTAGAGTCCGGCTCGTACTAGGCGGAATGGTTGTCTAAAAGTCTCTTCAAAATCAACAGGAAATTGTTAATTTCGTTATACCGTAGACGACGCATCGAATTAATTTTATTTCTGCAGGATGAAACGACCACGCGTACCTACCTCCGGTTGAAGATGAAGGTAAATTGCTAGTGTCACTCGATGAAATTGCTGTTACGGCTGCGTCTATTCGTTACGGATGATCAAAGCGAGAGGATGAACCTCGACGTTTCTCGTTTGTAGATATTTGCGGTACGCTGTGTCGAGTGTCTCGCTTATAACGAATGTCAACCGCCGATTTCGGAAGAAATGATTAAAGATTTATACTGTTTTCAAGATTTGCTTCCGGTAATGATTGAAGAAAATGCTACTGGCTGAGGCAGGCTGGGGATATTTATGTGAATTCGGATTTTTAACACTAGGTTTACGGGCATTTATTGTACACTTCATTGTATTATTCCTAAAAGAATTGATGCTCGTTTATTTAGATTGTGGAAACTGGAGATTTGATAGTAAGTAATTGGGGTACATGCCAGTGTGATCGTATCAATAAAAATCGGCGTAAACATTTACAAAATAATATTTCTAAAATCCAAGATGCGTCAATTTGATGCGTTTCGTAAACCTAGTGTTAAGAACGTAATAAAGGAACGGAAAAATAAAGTTGCAGCAGAAAGTGGTTTTTCGTAACAAATATTATAAAAAGTACTACACTTTGAATAATTTATGTACACCTTTCCGTATCGCGTGCATTCTGTGCATGGTAAGTTTTCTCGTTCTGTGGAGTTTGGCAACTGAATGCCTCGCATAAGAATTTAAGATTACTTCTCGGATTTTTAACCCCTTCAGCCCTTTCGTACCTAAATATGCATTTTTTAAATATGAATTTTGTAAAAAAATCTTATGACTGCGCATTTATCAACCAAAATACATGTATTGACAGCTGATTAGTATTTAAGCTGTCAGCCATAAGCAAAGATACCTGTGTGGTAAAATTTTTTATTTATCTAGGCGTTTTATAGTTTTCCAGTTACTTTTATTGGACAATATTTCTACAATGTCATTGCATTTACATTAAATGTTACGTTGACAAATGAAATAAAAATGAGTCTGCAATTGGTCCATCAATCGCGATAAAGAATACTTTTTTGCCTCTATCATTAGCATAAGAAATTAAAAAGTATCGTTGGAACCACAACCAATCTCTCTATTGCTCGTAAAAGATTACTGATCTTGTATAGCTGAGTCTGTTGACCGACTAACCCGGTTTGCATGCATCAAGTTTCTTAAGATATGTCCGTGTTGAGAGAACAATGGTACCTCAATCATCGCGATTCTATTGTACATAAATAAATTAGTGGCATTGGATTCAACAAACTAATAGGGCAATCAATATTGTATAACAGGACAGATTGAGATTGTAATTTATGGTTTTAATATTATTTTTAATTATCGGATTCTTTAATCAAGGAATATACGTGAACAGAATTTATTTAAAAAGTACAAAGAACAACGTTTAACATAATATCAGGTCGTATCGACATATAATAAAACATAACACATTAGCCAGCCAAATTCACACTGACGATGAACGTCGAATTTGCATTGAACAAATTCATATATTTAATTTCTAACAATAATTATAATTTTTAATCGTTTCACGACTTTGTATATTATAATTAACAATAAAGCAATACGTTCTATTTGTTGTTAAATATGAAATATCTTGACACGAATAATTTATATAATCATTTAATATTAATAAAAGAAGGTGGTAAAAAATGGCTAATTTTAATAAAAATATAGAAGTTCAATAAAATATGAGAAGAATATTCTTCATTTTGGTAATTAAAATTATTTTTATATTTTTAATATTTATTGTTCACCATTTGTTTTATATCATGTTCACTCTAATACCATAAATTAAAACATTAGTTAAATCTAATGCCATAAAATGGTAATTTCACTTTTTATAGATTAAGAAATTAGTAAACTTCTGTTTGAAACGGTTTGTCCTGAAATTATCAGACTCTGGATATATTCACTTATAGACATTGTGCTTTATGTAAATATTCGCAGTTCCCAATTACGAGACGAAATGTTTTCTGTGGACGGGTTGGACATACACTGTGCGCAAATAGATGTGCAGTTCACAGAACACTAAATATTCGACCAATATTGAATGTGTAATTTTGACCAGTACTGAACGTTATCAAAAGAAACTTTTATTCAAATAATTATTCGCAGTGTTTGTTTTACTGTTCATTTTCTTAGTTACTTTATCTTAGATAATTCCATAGTGATAATACATTTAAGAAATAAATTATTTTAATACTGGCTATCTCTTTTGTAATGTGTATAATTATTACTTAATTTCACTAAAGAAAGATAAAGAAACTTTTCTCTATGATGCGTGAAACTCTTATTCCGAAACCATATTATTTGTTATTTAATATTATTATCTGAAATTATTGAATATTTGATAAATATATCATGTAAAAATAATTCATTAAACAAAATGAGAGTTTAAAATTTAACTTCATGCGCCCTAATTTTTAAACAAACTTATTTGTTATTTTTGTTGGAATAATTATTTGCTTCTTTATTTATTATTTACACGTCCTATTTACTTTATATGTTATTATTCACACCTGTCATTTACTGTATATATTATCAATAATATATCCATTATTTATTTTATATATTACTAATAATGCATCTATTATTTACTTTATATATTATTAACCCTTAACGGTCGACAAGTTTTAAAAACTAAACAAGCATCGAAGTTTTAAATACTAAAAGAAAAGAAACCACATATCAATCCCTCATTAGTGGAATAATGAAATTATTCATTTGCAGTTCTCGATTTTAGATGTTTAGCAAAGGGTTGATAATACATTTATTACATACTTTGTATATTCAAATAAAACATACTCGATCGTGATTTCAAATGAGTCGCACGAATGTCGACGGAAAGGGTTACTACGTACCTGTGTTGTGTAATTGGTCATTGTTCGCAGTCAAGGGTGAATCGTGTCTCGAAGGTGGCGCGGGACTTCCCCGATTCACTGGAAGGTCATACAGATACACGTCACCGCATTTCTGTGGAGTCACCACCTGCGCAGAAAAGATCAAAGACACCAATTAACTAATTACCGTGACTTTAAGTTTGGACACTTGTTCCGAAATCCGGTGAGTAATTTCAATCTTATTTCTCCATGCTTTGAAGCACTATTAATTAATGCTCCGCAGGTAATATGATTTTTCACTAACATGACCGACTAGACGAACCTTTTATGATCAATTTAAATTTTCATTCTTGTGAGTTTTGTGAAAATGTGAAAAAATGTTAAGATACTTATCGTAGTCCCTAATTTAATATACAAAATGTTAGCCAAATTTTCATATCACGTATTACAATAAAAACTAAAAGTCGTGGTCAAGTAATGAAGAGATAAGATTTTCAACAGTCCCCTAATAGTCCATACTGCTCAAGATGAATTATAAATAAAATTTTAAGAAACAAATATTACTCAGTTCTTTAGAATTCAAATTAAATATTGTTCTTCTGTTACTAATGATTATATTTTAGAGTAATTTTAGACACAGAATATGCTCAGAACTTTTCTTCTTTTTCAATAAACTATTATTGGCAAAATAGTTGTATCGATTATAATTGAGAAATAAACCATAGGGCAACGTGTTAATATGAGACAGTTATAGAAGTCTATTAATAGTCGCCCAGTAAATCAAATATTAAGATTTCTTCTAATTATTCTCTGACTTTTTCCTTGCTTATTATTATCAAAACAGAGCCTGAAAAGCTACTACCAAGCTTTCAGATCTTTCTATATTAAGAATTTGATTGCAGCATTAATTGAATTCCTTCTAGGAATGCACGATAGAGTCAATAAACACATTTCCTTTTTCTACCTACATTAAAATAATCCATTTTGGTCTCATCATACGGTTAATTATATATTGTAAAAAAATTTATTTCTAGATTCGTAGTGACACTTTGTCTCCATAGTAAAATTCGTTCGTAGAGCAGATTTTTCACCGACCAACGGTGCATAATGTTGCGCTCGCGAAATTGTCGACATTAATCTGCGCCGCCTATAAACGCGCGAACCGTGAAATCCTTTTAAATGAACGAGGGCAGAATAAAACGTTAATTGAAACGGTTCGCAGCGTGCAATTATAAAAGTAGTTCAATTTTCAAGTTGAAGCTGGTTATGTTACTTCACACTTCACGGTTTGTTTGGTTTCTGTTATGATAATTCCAGCGTGTCAGACTTCTGTATATTTTCTTTGAAAATTGATTTAACAAATCTTTAGCTTCTTGTTACATTTTATTTTTTATTTGTAACATGTATAATTTCATGGAGTTTCATTTAAAACTTCAGGAGTTTTATTTAAAACAGATTTCCATCGATGTATCGCTGCAGAATACGAAGCCTTTTAAATTAGTAAACCGAATTGCCGAGTCTTCTGTTGTTTCATTGCAAAACAACAATTCTCTTTGAATTCGGTACGGAACTTTCATCGATACTTTAATATAGCTACACATGAATTTTATTGGATATCGTTTTTAAATGAAGTTTTCAAACCTGTCGTGAGTGCAATTAAAAATACGAATTTTATGAATATTCTTTTCATGTTATATGTTGCAAAATTTCTTGTATTTTTGTATGTTCTTATTATTATTTCCTGAAGTTGCCCCGTTAAAAATTTCGTTTGCCACTTCATTACTATTCATTATTATTACTTTTACGTTAGTTTTTCACTAAATCTACATATTACATAAATGTATTAACGTTTCGTCGTAATATTTGCATAAATCGATTAAAAATTACTGTTTTGATTAATATTCTGGCGCCAAAAGAACATTTACATGGAAATCGAGTCGAAATTATTGTTTTTCCAATATTTACCTGTAAAACGTGAGGTTGTTGCAAATTGATTAAAAAGTTACGTTTTTATCGGGAATTTTGTATAAAACGAACATATTTTCAAAAATGGATTAAAAAATTCTATGCTTATTAACGTTCCACCTTTAATCACTAATTTGTTTAAACAAATGTTACACTTTATAACAGCTTCTGCCTTGTATCACTGTTATCATTACAAAGCCAAATGAAAAAAGGGAAGAAAGAAGACCTCATTTAACACTAGCATTACCGATTAGTCAGATTGACTTTCCTTTATTCTTTTGGAGACATTACAAAAGTGTATTTATTGAGATTTTCATGAATCTCCATATTATACTGTTCAACGTATTTTAAAATACAGTTTACTTGCGTGTTTTACGATGCGAATAAAAATACGCGTTAACACTGGCCGAGTACATCGTTTGTATTTTTCACTCGTCGCAAAACCCCCATTGAACACTGTAGAAGCAAAGGAGTTTTAATTGAACATTTCATAGGCAACAAGCATTTGAGTATGTATTACGTGTTCGAGTTCTCTTTAATTGAAACGAACGCCGATGGGTGGGCATATGAGTTATACAGAGTGGTTTCAAACGGTACACTTTTATTCGTAGGTTTTCGGGCACTTGCGTTGGTAAACGTAGGATAAGAATAATGTAAATAATACCAGAAATGTAAAAAAAAGCTAGGAAAAATAAGTTTTTGAAATGATACAAAAATTAAACTGTATTCTGTGTAATAAATATACTTGAAATTTTGTTGGAGTGTTTTCAATTTCTTTAAAATTAGAGAAAGAAAGAAATTAGGATTTTAATAATGAAATTTTCTCAAATGTGTTACGTCTGATTTCATTTCACAAGTTTTCCTTATAATATTGAAACATCATTACGCAGGTTATGTTCTTGCAAATTCTTGCAAAGGTATTGTACTCTTCCGCACTTGATATTTTATTGAATTTCAATTAGTTAAAATAGAATAATCTATATTTCCTAATGAAGAAAGTGTATATTCGTATCATTATTATTATAAATTTGAATGATTGAAATTTTTCTTTTTCATTTAAAATTAGTGTTCCTTAGGTGGTATTAATTATAGCCTTTTGTAACCTTATTTTACTACATAATACATTAGATTATATATTATATTATATTATATTATATTATATTATATATTAAGATTGTTAAAACCATTAAAAGTACATTCCAGGAAAACCTAACACAAGCATCAAATTTCTAAACACAATAAACATAAAAAACGATGTAACTTTCTTCCATTCTTCACAAAAATTAAATTCTTCGATTTCAACTTTCGTTTGTAAAAGTAAAAAAGGTTGTCAAAGAGTTAAATCATGTTGGACAAAATTTAAACAGCCCGTACGCTCGCGCGAGCACGCGAACGCGCACTTGCCTTCTTTTCGACCGGTGAACCGCGAAGCTGCAAGGGAAAATGCAATTTCGTCGGCGAAACTCGAACGAAAGAGAGGACGAAAGGGGTCTAGCCCGCGGATAGGGAAGCGGGGGACACAGAGAACGAAGAAGAAGAGGGGATGAGAGGCGTGCATCCCCCTAGAGCGCAATCTCTGGGCTCATCGTCCGCTGCTTTACAATAATAGAACCTCTTCAAACCTTGCGTTATACATAAGCGTGCTACACTTTTATTGTGCCTGCTATCTCGATTCAGGAGCCGCGACAGCTGGGAGATGCCCGTGTGTCGCGGTTCGCGTCTGCATATATGTGTATGTGTGTACTTCTTTTTATCAACTCAATAAAATTGAATACCGTTCGAGAGGTGGTTGATTCGCCTCGCATTGGTTGCAGAATAGATAAATCCCGAGCCGTTTATACGCTAAGTGACCTGCAAACAAGACGGGGCACTTTTATTTTGCTCGCTATTTAACAAGTCTCAATGAATTGGACTGCTTGATACGGGCAAAGTTGAATTGGCGCCAATCAGGGAGTCTGATAGGATTCCTTGGAAGGTAATAGCTGTTTGAATAAATTTTCATTGCGCGGTAAAACGACTGAATGGTTTCACAAGCTTAGATGCAAGTAGTATTGGAGAATGGTAGGAATAGGTTTGGGCTTGATGTGAGCTGTGAGGTAAAGTAAATGTTTTATTCGTGACCATGGTTTGGTTATTTCCATTCAGCTGGTTTGCTTGTGTTGTTAAGGACAGAAATGACAATTTAATTTAGAGTATTTTAGTTTTCAATTTGATAATTGCTGATTGCTTGCAATATTCAGTAAGATGTGTATTTACCAGTTAATATGTATACATATATTTTAGATAAGAATAAATAAAGCTACATAATATTTTCGTTTTACTGGTAACTGCGTTTTGTGTATAGCTCATACAATTAGCCGAACAAGAAAAATATGCCGTTTAAAAGATACCATACTTTAAACTCGAATCTTAATTCGAAGATTGAATGTAAACCTACAATTTAACCCCTTGCCCTACGATATCATGTCATACTCGTGGTGAAGATTTTAAATAGAATTTAACAAACAAATATTATTCGATTTGTTTGAAAGCAAATTACATATTATTCTTCTACTATCAATGATTATACCTTAGAACACGTTGACATAGAATAAGACTGGAATCTTCTCTTATTTTCAATAAATTATTAACAAAGTAGTTAAATCGATCACAGTTCAGAAAGAAATCATGGGACACAGGGTTAACAAATTTCGAGAAAAAAGATCATTAAAAAAATGTTCGTCTACAAGCATTCCTTTTCCAGAACAATTTAAGTCACGCCAGGAAAACAACTATCACCCAAAGCAAAGACGTTTACACATCCTCCTTCAGCTTGTACTCCAACCGAACTACCCCAAAGTAGTCTACAGAATAGTCTACAGCCGACGCATTGTCCGCGCCTCCGACAGATACATATTTCCTGAACAAAGGAGGAACGCGCGGGACAAAACATTCCGTTATCAACCCTCTCATTCGGAACGCGAGATTCGAATAGTTTTTTTTTGTTAACTCCCCTTGTTTCCGGGACCACGTCAGGGGTTGAAAACAGTTACGATATGGTTTCCGGTTCTTGAAACAATTATGGAGAACCAAGATGAAGTCATAAGGTAGACCGAGGCTAATTGGGTCACACGATGAACCGAATTGAAATAAGAATCCAGTCCACATTTGTTGTATCGCAAATTATATTTCCCATTTTTTGTT